GGGCTGGGACTGGCCAGGTGTGCCGGGCGTGTGCTCCCTGCCATGCATGCCCTGCTCTGGACCTTTGGTACCCACGTGCCTTCAAGATTGAAGGAAACAAAGCGTTTTGGCAGAGCTGTCCTTGCTGGGTCCTGGATTTTAAATGCTTCCAAGTGCTCAGAGCCTGAAACTGATTTTCTTCCTTATTCCAGGATGTTGTTTGGGGATTAAACTCCTTATTTACTGTAAGTATATGATTAAAATTCAGTTTTTCTTGTTTTGTCTGACTTCTATTTTTAGTCATCACATAAAGGTAGCATAAGGGGAGGTAAAAGAATCCCCAAATGCACACACGTGTGTACCCCCTTTCTGTTGCACTTTTATGAGTTAGTAAGGCGGGTGGTGATAGAGGCTGGTGGGACAGTGTCTTATCGGGACTGGGCATGAGCCTTTTGCCACATCCCCTACATGAACCTATGGCTCTGCCAGCCACCCCAGCCCCTCCCCATCTGGGGTGTCCTGGTTTGAAGGATTCATTCTGGCTTCCCCAGCCTCTCAGGCTCCCAAGGGTGCTGCCCTCAACGGGGAAGGCAGCTGAACGCCATCATCTGGGTGCCTTACCAATCTGTTCCTTCAGAGAGCTGCCTCTCGGAAAAAGGATTCTTTGTCATTTCTGTTATACTTTGAGTTGCTGCCCAGCATAGCCTGGCACCTGAGGGCTGTGGGTGCTGGGCTCATGGGAGTGGCCTCCACAGCACTGCCTGTACCCTAGGGCAGGCTTGCCCATCCTCGTCCTCTCCCTAGGGCACAGCACTCCTGGCTTGACTTCAGAAGGCCAAGCAGCAGAAGGTGATACTCACGACACAGGCAGATGCACACACACTTCCCACTTGTTCCAAGACCATCCTGGTCCCCAAGAGAGTTCCTTCCCACGGAGACTTGGGCTCCAGCAGATTGCCTTTGACTCTGCCTTTGGATGGGGGACCAAGTGTGCCCAGGCTTGAGCTCTGGTGGTCGAGTGTCATTGGAACACTGGGCCCACTGCTCTTTGACTTTGGTTGAGAAGCCCCTGAGGACAGGGCTAGCCCAGGCCCTTCCTCAATGTCGGCAACAGCCGATAGATCCTTCCAGAAACCAGTCTGCTGTCCCAGGAGCAGTGACTGGGAGAGGAGCGTGAACTCTTGGGCCTTGTCCTTTGCTGTGTTCTGCGAGTCTTCTGAGAAATCCGACATGGCTGCATGAAGGTCCATCTCCTGAGTGAGTGCCCCCACCACCTGCGTTCTTCAGAGCCTGCCCTTCCCAGGCACAGGCGAGGCTGTCGGGACCCCCAAACTAAACTGTCAGGGTTACTCCCTTCGGATAATTATCTTCGAGCAAACACTGTGGGTCTTATGTTGCAGGGGCACCCAAATGTTTGTGGAAAAGTTCAGTTCAAAGGTCATGGAATTTTGCCACTTCTGGGAGCCCTGGTGGTGTAGTGGTTCTCCATTGGGCTGTGAGCTGCATGGTTGGAGTTTGAAACCACCAGCAGCACTGAGGGATAAAGCTTTCTACTCCTGTAAACAGTTACCATTTTGGAAACCCATCAGGGGTCGCTGTGAGTCAGCGTTGACTGCATGGCCGTGAGTTTGGGTGGGGAGGGTGTTTTTCTGAGTTGTTTCTAGCTCATCAGGCTGCTCCTAGAATAGGTACTTTTCTATTTTGCCCTTTTCCAAGACTGGGAGCTAGCTGTGCAACTGAATGATCACAGCAGTTCTAGTTTTCCTGTTCACTGTCCAAGTGAGGACTGCACTTGCCAGGTTGCCACGCTCTGAGGAGACGTGTGATGCTCTCAGTGCATTCT